TCTCACCCGTAACAATATCAGTACCCTTAGCCCTTGCCTATAAATAAGGGGTTGAAAATTGAGGATGAGTATAACACCATTGTATTTTTGGCCAAAATTTAGCATTATAACTATTATGATCATTCACTTCTTGCCATTCATGAACATTATTCTAACTCATGTAAGTTAAAGTTTGGACTATATTTGGTCCAAAAAAAAAAAAAACTCTCGTATGTTTGATTCATATTTGTTTTAATGGCTTTAATAAAATAGATAAAATGTATAATCTTAGATGGAAAAAGTTTGCCATGAATGGAATTTACAAAGAAAACAATGAAGTAGAATGTGTACGGAGCACCATATTGGTTATGTTTACTCCAAAACAAAGTCTCACACAATCACATGTTCGATAACATGTGTCCTAAGATACTTGATAATGATTTGCTTAACATTGATCAATTGATTGACATTATGTCTAAGCCTTAGGTTGAATCTTTTAAATTTTAATTAGCAAGCTTATATATTTAATTTATTTATATTATCTTATTTTTTCTATTTTAGAGAATATAGTCAAGGGTTGATATGTTGTAATAGAAAGGAATAAAAAATGTTAATAAGGGATGATTTGATGCAATGGGTTAGGAATACATCCTTTCCTCATTTATTTTTCTCCTAGATTGTTTGAATGGGTGGAAAGAAAAATACAATTTTGCTAATCAATCTATTTATAGTTTCCAAACATGAATCCTCATTCTTGCATCCTTTTGCTCTTCGACTAAAAGGATTTATTTCCATTATTCTTTTGAATCTCATATTATCTTCGACTACCTTCATCATGAGCCATCTTCTCCTCTGCATTGAGTATTAGGATTCTCTTCACTCAACAAAAATCAAGGTTGGACAGCATCGAACCTTCTTCTTTGCGTCGAGCCTCCACATTTTGACAATAGTCTTGGTTTTCCTCATGACACCATTTGACCTTCTCTCTTCTTGAGCCATCTAGTGACGCACCTTTGTTGGCTTCTTGTTGATGGAGCCTTTGAGTTTTTGTTGAAATCTCTTGCAAATTATATAGGGAAGTTTAAATTATAGTTTTTGAGTTGATGGTGTAATGATTGTAAAAGTAGAGGCAATTCTCAAATGAGGTCAAATTTGAGCTAGTTTAGCTAATGTGAAATTTGATTTTAATTCATTAAACTTTTCCAAAAGATTGGGCCAGATAATGATGAGGATAGGTAGAGGAATATACCTAATTATGTCCAATAAGTTTATGAGGATTTCATATGTACTTTAATAAATTTAGTTGGTATGTCGGCACCCTTTGGCCGATAGCCCTAGGTAGAATTTAGGGTTTTAGGGAGTGAATTTAATGTTGTGATTAGGGTTTGAAAACTCAGTAAATATGTAGGTAAATATTTCTTTCAATATTCTGGCGTGTTTGTCAACTTTTCATGAGGTTTAAGGTTTAAGTCGTGAAAAATCAAAAGTAGGTCATGATTTCACCATTCTTGCCCGAGAGCTTCTTTTATGGATTTGGAGTGGTTTTATAGGTTTGGAAAATATGGGAAACTGCTTTAGAAGTATAATGAGAGGATAATAGGTTATGTCTATCACAATTTTTAAATTTAATAAGACTAAACACACCAAAGAACTTTTCTCCAAAGAATAGAGATGTAATTGCCACCATGCAAGCACTTAGGGTTTCGTCCATTAAGCCTCTACCATTTGAGATGGACACTTAAGTTTAATTCCAAAATCACATCTATCATTTCATTACAACAAATAAGCACATATCTTGGTTCTTACATCAAAGAAAGTTCAAATGAAAGGTAGAGAAAAGGCATTTTGGTTGGCCAATTAGTGGAAGAAAGAGGACATAGTTATGCTCAGTTATTATTTCTCCAATCAAGTGTTGGCTTGCCTCGCCTCTCTAGAGTGAAAAATATTTAATTGAATTAAATTCATCAAATTAATCATTTTCCAATTTTATCCTACTCATTTCCCTCAAATTTTCTTGATTTTGAATTAAAGAATCTCAAAAGTCCAAAATTTTAAAATTTAAAATTGCATGTTGTGAAAATATTCCAAACTTAAAGATTATATAACAGTCTTTCATTACAAACATAAAACACATAAATTAAAATTTTTTATTAATAGACTTCATTTTGCTCATAGGGCCTTTGATTATTTGCAGTTTTTTTCTTGCTCTGAGCTCAAGTGATTTGTCCTCCTCTTTTTTTGCATTAGTACCTTGTGCCACATTAATTTCCTTGAACCTCAAAAAACTCTTTTTTGTAGAGTAAAAGCCAAGATAATTCTCTACTAAATTTGGTACAAATTTTTCCAAGCAATTTCTAATAAAACACGTATACCCTACTAGTGGTTTATCCTTTCACCTCACAAGAAACTTGTGATCTTCATCTTGTTTTATTGGCCCCTCCTATGTGATAATAGGATCCATCTCAAAGAAGGAATGTTGGATATATATGCTAATGATGGTGTTGCCCTCTTGCAAAAGGGTCATCCTACAAATTTGGAGCTTCACTAACTCCCTTAAAGGATATCAAATCCTCTACATTATAAACATGGCTAATGAATATGTATTTTGACAATTCAAGAATATATGCATTTTAGCAAGTCTTTTAATAATCTCAAATGGCCCACATGCCCTAGCTTATAATTTTCTAAATTTTGTAGATTGATGTTTCTTAGATCGTATTCTAATCAACACTTGATCTCCAACATTATATTCTTCAAAAGGTTTTATGTGCATATTTTGTATTTATCATTTCTAATTGCCTAATATAATCATGAAGGTTTTCAAAATTCTACTGAAAAGTGAGTTTTGAATCTAAAATAAATGTTAAAGATGTGCTAGCAAGATCAACTGATTTCTTTGGGTTATATTCATGACTATTTCAAATGGCATTTTATTTGTGGATCTTGAAATAGTAGTTTTGTATGCAAACTTTGTTGTAGGAAGGTGTAGGTCTAAATTTCCTAAGCATTTATCCACCAAACTTTTTAAGATGTTTTTAAATGTTTTGTTCACTATCGTAGTCTGCCCATCAGTATGAGAATGAAATGCTAAAGAGAGTTTTAAATATTAAAAAAATGATATAAATTTAATATGCCTATTAGAAATAATTATGGAAGGAAGTCCATGAAGTCTAATAATCTCCTTGAAGAATAACATTGCTATATGTGATGCCCCATTAGATTTTGGGCAAGATAAAAATTAAATATTTATCATGCTCCATAGAAGTTCTAAGAATGCCATGTACAAAATCTATAGAAATGTCTCCCAGGGCCTGAAGGGAATAGACAAAGAAGAGTATTTTCTTGACTTCTATTTGGTTCTTTTTGCTTGCGTAGATGCATAATACTACGTGATTACCCTCTCAATCAATGTCTGTTATAGAGGGTTAGAAAAAGATATGCTCTATCAAGTGTATAATTTTGAACTTCCCAAAATGTCCGTCAACTCTCCCAAAATATATGATAAGAAATGTCCTCATAGATGTCATAGGATACCACATAATACTTAACAAAAGATTAATCTTTTTTGGCCATGCTCTAAATATATCAAATGAAAGTCTGGATAGACTTGATGATCATCCTTTAGCCTTTCAAATACCGCAATTTAAAATTCTAAAGATGAGAGTATCAAATAAATCGAAAGGGCATTTGCAGGCTTATTTTCTACCCTAGGCTTTTGTTTAAGCATAAAGATGAAAATTTGATGTTATTCTACCCATTTTGCATGTTTTTAATTTAACTTTCTCCAAGTATTTATGAATTTTAATGCATGGTGATATGCATTGAGGATAAACTCCTTAGTAACAAGTAGTGCCTACAATGTTTGAGATATTAGATGATGGCATAGATCTTTCTATCATATGTGAAATATCTTTGTCTTGCACCATTCAACTTCTTACTATAGAAGTCTTTTGGGTGAGTCTTAAGTGTGCCTCCTATTCCTATGCAAGAATTATTATGGTGCCCTTAAATGTTTTGCTAAATTACGAGAACTTTGATATGTTTAATAGCTTTCTGAGCTGATTAGTCCATACAAATTTATCTTTCTTTAGGTGATTTGTGATCGGATCTACAGTTATGCAAAAATTCCTTTAAAACCTTTCGTAGAAGGTAAATATATGAACTATTTGGGGCTCGCCTAATCTACATTAGCCTGATTTTATAGGATATTCTTTTGGTCCACTTTCAGCCACCACCAATTTAAGGAATCTGACCTCAGGATGTTGAACAATTATAATGGAATTCTCATACTCGATTTGCATATAAAATTTCATTCAAATTGAGTATCTTGGTTCATAGAAATTTGAATTATCACATTATTTTATCTGGATTGTTCTTTAATGAAAATTATGAATATGTTTGATCGATGAACAGTCAATTATAGAATTCAATGAATTTTGCTGTGTAATGAATTTCAAAGGTGAAGATTAAGATCAACTGCTTTGATCGTTATTGTGGAGCCTTTTCAATCAAATCTTTTTAAAAAAGAAAATTGATAGGGAAGTTGAACTTTTATCATTGATAGCTGCGTGTATAGACAGATGTGTGTAGAAGGAGAAATTATTATGTGAGGACACCGGACAGAGAGAGCCGTCCGATTTTCTTTCTATCTACAGTAAAAGCGCAGCTACTATAGTACAAACATAGTGAGCCAGACGGTTCTTCCATCCAGTGTCCGCACAGAATAATTCATCGTGTAGAAGAGGGTTAAAGCTCAACTACAAGATACCCATGACTAATGAAATCAACTTCAAAGTTCAGGCATTAAAATACAGACAGTCAACTATGGGGATGTTTATTGATTGATCTTGATCATTTTTCACCTAAAAGAATCAGAATTCATCTTCCATTGTTCTATGATTACTTTTATGGATGATCTAGTTTAAACAAATAACCTTTTGAATTTGCTTGAACTTTTTTGCTGGAACAAAAAAAAAAGAATATTTCTTTCACTTATAGAACTAAATTGGACCTTTTGATAGGTTGGACTTTGTGTAGCACTAGCATTCACATTTCCAATCATGATGCACCCAATTTATGAGATTGTAGAGATGAAGATGACATCAATCAGATGGTTTCAAAAGGTCCGGTGCAACGCCTACGGCGAGCGACTTAGCCTCCAGGGAGCTCGCATGCTAGTGCTATTGATCGTCGCCATCATAGCTTCCTGCATACCTGGTTTTGGGACTTTCATCTCACTTGTGGGCAGCACACTTTGTTCTCTGCTTTCTTTCGTCTTGCCGGCCACATTCCATCTTTTGCTGATGGGATCCAATCTGAAGCTTTGGCAGAGAGCTGTAGATTATCTTGTTCTTCTTGTTGGGCTTGCTTTTGCTTGTTATGGTACATATGATGCACTAAGTGATCGTATTAGGGTTTCTAAAAGTATTCCATAAATGAAGAAAGGTGCTACTCTTGTTGGGATCTTTTTTTCTGCTGTGATTTCATGGAGATTAGATGTGATCAGTTGTGAAGGATGGATTTGTTTACAAAATTTCTTCATCCAGCCTTCAGCTATATTATTCGTTTTTTATTTATTGGATCATAGGAAGATCATATCTCTAATGCAAAGCCTGCCTTGAGCATCAGCAGTTGTTTATGCTTATTTTGTTATGCATATGTGCTTGCTAAACCACTCTCGTTTGTTTTCAGAGACTCCTGTTCGATTGGAGCAAAATATTGTGGCTGAATTTAGTCAAATAATGTTATAAGAGAAAATGATTAAAATTGTTCCTCGACTTTTATTAAGGATCTGAATGGTTTTCGATTATATTAAATGATCATTTTGGTCCTTTAAATTTAAAAAAAAATCAAAATCAAAATCAAAATAATCTTATGGTGAGATTATTTCGGTTCTTTTTTAAGGAGTTGAATATTAATATAATTGAGAATTATTTTTATCGTTTTCCCAATGTTACAATATATGGATATACACTATTTTTTGTGACTGGCTTGTAGTTGCTGCTATATACTCATAGCTTGAGGGAGCTCTATTATAGGAGAAATTATTCTGTGCGGAGACTGTACATAAAACGTCATTTCGGAGATCAACTAGAATGCGTCACGTCGACAGTACAGAGTAGTATCGAGCAGTACTAAGCCACGATACCGAGCTTAGAGGGGTTATGTGGTGCATTTTGGTTGGTCTCAGGACGACATTTGACATCGGCACATAATAGTTAATCGTACTATAGGATTGGGGTTTTGTTTGGCGTTGGGGCATCTCAAGGTTTATTTGGGCAGTTTTTTTCATGGCTTTGTATTTCAGTTCTATTTGAAAATAATTTGTTTTTGTTGATTATTAAAAAAAATTGAAGTGATTAATAATTTTTTATAATGAGTGATGGTTGCCAAAAAAATTTCTATTCAATTTTTCAAAAAAAAAAAAAAAAAAAACCTAACAACTTCTAATTTTTTGGTATAATAAATTTATAGTTATTTTTAATAGAAAAATAGTCCTAAGCGAACCCTGACCTTGAGTCCATGTAATAACAGCTGAAAATGGGGTTGTTGTGCTGTCGAATAATATATAATTGCAATAAAACTTTTTTTTATTTATGAAAGCCAAATATCAATATATTAATGTGATGAGAAAATGATACAAAAAGGAAAGCCCATTGCACAAAGAGACCCAAAGGGAGCTTACAAGTTCCATACAATTAATCCACAAGCTCTGTCAAAACTGTGGAAGTCAGGGTTGTGAGTTAGCAAAGCCGAATTGTGAACCGGCTTCGACTTGATTTGATAAATGGCTTGTGAGTTGAGCTCCATAAATTAATGAGTAAAACTTAAGTCAGCCCTTAATTGATTCTTAGCTTATGAGCTAGCTCGTTTAAAATATATTAATATAAAATACACTTAAAATATATTAGCATTCATAATTTTAAAAATAAAGTTATTAAAAATATTTAAAAAATTATGTCTCATTTTTTTATATTAAGAGTTCATTATTATTATTTTTTAATTTTTAATTTTTTTATTTTATTATAACAATTGATTTATCATTTTCTCTTTTTCATTATAAATGAGTCCATTTGTAAGTCAAATATGACACCCTCAAATCCACCAAGAGGACCCTCAAAATAAGCAAAAAGAGGAGTAATGCAGAAGTTCAAAAAATAGAGCAAAAGGCCACGGGAAATTATTGGGTTCGGACACTGGACGTCGTCCAGAGCTCAATGAAAATACGCCACATCACCTCCTACTCGGTACTGAGCAGTACCAAGTAGTATCGAGCTCAGTATTGCTCAATACAGAGCTCGGTACTGTGAAATACCGAACGTAAGCTGTGTTTGATGTCCGAACCCAATAATTTCCCCAACGCCACAGACAAAACCAAGAAAAAATGTCTTAAAAAATCAACTAGACCCATTACCCAACCCTCTATGTCAAACCAATAGAGCAAAGCAAAGAGGAAGAGATTCATTAGAAGGCATTACAAATTTCAATAAAGCTTTTACTTTCATAGGCCAATCCTCTTCAAATTTTTATCTTAGAAAGATTCATTATAGCCTATATTTTTTGTAATGTTTCCTTTATATAGTTTATGAGAATAGAGATAGTGAGAATAAAACATCTTTTATGTGAATTATGGGGAAATAAATAGTTATCCTCTAAAACTTATAATAAGAATATCTTTAAGAAATAATAATTAGTATTAGGGACACTTTTTCAAATTAACTTCATAATAATAGAGTAACCAATGACTTTATGAGCATATGTTTCTAAACCTTCTTGATAAAAAGCACATAGGCCACCCATATTGATGCCACAATTAATCAAATTATCATCGCTAGATAGGTAATCTAGGAATAAAGTAGAATTTTAATTGAATGGTCTTTAAATCCAATAAATTTATGCCAAGAGAAATTTGCCAAATATTAAAAAAAGAGCCTGATGGCACTTTTGAAATTAAAATCATGAACATAATTCCATAACAATTTTTCTTCCCCACCTAACTAGGAATGTGGTATAATTTGGGCTTTGCGGTGTGAGGTACGGTTTCGAAAGAGTCGCTAAAGGAAGATGCTTCGCCCCCTTTGGCAACATCATTTATGTTGGATTGATAGTCACGACGGTATCTCGTCGTGAAGATAACGATCTTTCTTTGCTTTCACATGCTTCTTTGGTTAAATCCTGTAAGTTTGCTGAAATATTAGATTTACCAAATTCGACATTTAGGGCAAAATGTCAAAAAAGAGGAAGAAGATGATTTAAAGGATAATTAAACAAAATTATTATATTTAAACTTAGTTTGCGATAGCTTTTTTACTATTTCTTAAAGTAGCTTTTTAGTATAAAAATATTAATTTTTTAACTAAAAAATTGCTTTAAGAAATAGTTAGAAAGCCATCTCAAACGAAGTCATATATAATTTCAATTGTGTAAAGAAATTTGATAAGTTTTCTCCAACTTCTGTCAGTTTCTAACTAATGAATCTTTAGGGTAGTTTCTCCTTCCCATTGAGCTTTTTGATGTCTAAATTCTGTAATGAAATTTGTTTGGTCGCTTAGTTAAAGCCTTACATTTTTCAAATTCTATTAAAATTCAACGGCTATAACCTCCTTTGAGAAAAAAATTAACAGGAGGTTCTCCTCCTCAGTTTCTCATATTTCTAAAAGAAACACAAATGTTTCTGTGTATTTGAAGTTTTCTTAGTTTTTCATATGGAATCAGATTGGAAACCAAGAAATCAGAGACCTAATTCATTCAGGAAAGCTGATCCAACTTCTTCTCTTCTTGTCAGCTCAGATTATCTGTGAAAACCCAGCAAATTTGGCCTTCATGTCATTATAGGAAATTCATGCCACGTGGAATCATCATGACAATTTCAAAAAAAAAAAAAAACTAATTTTTTCTCTTTCCCAAAAGTTAAACTTTTGATTTTCAAAATCATTGAATTTAATCAAAAAATCAAATTTAAAATGAATTTCAACATAAAAATATCCAAAATTATGAAAACTTAATCAAAATTATTTATTTATTATTCCTTCATGACATCATTGATAATAAGGACCTAATCTAACATAAAATGATAGAGCTAAAATTAAAGCAAAATCCAAAAGAGATTGCCCAAACATAAAACCCTAAATTAGGCATTAAAAAAAGAATTAAATTAAAAAAAACAAAATGATTTAAATATCATAGATTAATATTAAAACTATAGCCAGATAATGATTTCTTATAAGATTTCAACTGACTTGTTCATTATAAAAATGTGAAAAAAATTCTAAGAGCCCACATAGTGCATGGACCAATTAAACAAACTTAGCTTCACTAAGATAATCATTTAAATAATATTGATGACTATGATTATAGACTTGGCTTTTAATAAAATAAAAATAGATCATTGTAATTAAGAAATTCAATGAAAGAGAGTGTAATTACGGAATTACCCTTCTCTTATCTTCCATTATTAAATCATTCAATAGATTATAGCATCATTAAACTATATTTTATCAAGTGTTGCTTCTCATGCATAAATAAGACAAATTCTCATTGGAATGTTAGATTGGATAATTAGTAGAAAAAAAAGGGTCAATATATTTTAATTTTAATATTGATATTAAGATTATTATAATTCTATAGTAAATAACTAATTTTAAAATAAATTAAATGATTTTAATATTTATTTAATTAGTATATTATAACTCAAAGAAAAAATTTATTTTTCTAGCTAGTGTTAGCTCTCACACCAAGTAAAAGAATAAATGGGTCCCACCTATCACATAAATAAATAATTTAAACATTAAGAGGAGTAAATTAAAGATCTTATGAGACTTTTGGGGATTTTTTATAATAAAAAATGTTGGATGGTTTCAATGGATTGGATCAAAGGAAAAGACAAAGGGATTAGCAATGACAAGCACATGGTTGATGAAGGCTTTCTTTCCTTAATGATGAAACGGCGGGTTGCTTTTAATTAATTATAATCTAATGCACAACTTGCACCTTATTCTTTGCGATTAATTAGTTAATTAATTATTGTAAAGCTGGTGGTTAGTGGCCTCATTAGCTTTCACATGCATATAATAATGAAGTCAAAAGTAATTTTGAATTGTTTATTGTAATTTTTTAAGCAATTTGGAATCATATCCATTTCATTAATTGAAAGTCTATTTTGGGTGCCACTATGCTAAAGAGATATTGCTTAGTTATTGATATAAAAATGCTTAAAAGGGTAGGGGTGTCAATATTTGACACGACACGAAAACCCGACCCGGACCCGCCGGGTTGAACCCGACCCGATTTCAAAACGGGTCGGGTTCGGGTTGACCCGGCGGGTTGCCGGGTCAACCCGCCAACCCGTTTAATTCAAAAAAAATTGAATTTTTGCATTTCCCGCGCCTGCCCGAGTTGCCGCCCGCGCTGCCCGCGCGTGCCCGCCGCGCAGCCCGTTCGTGTCTGGCCCGGTGCCGAAGCTCGTGCCGCGCGCGCGCCGTTCGCAGCACGCGTCGCTCCGCGCTCCACTTTGCCAGCGCTGCGCAAGGCCGCGCTCTCGCCCGTCGCGTCGCCGTCGCCGCGCGCGTCCGCAGCAGCAGGGCGGTTCCGAGCCGAACCTGGTCGGCGTCAACCGGGGCAACCGCGCCGGGGATCGGGTCCGGGTGGTCGGATTTCGAACCGGGTTTGGCCTTCCGTCGGGTCGGGGTGTTAGGGTGTCGAACTGCGTTTGAGAACCGGCGGTTAGTTTTTCCGGGGTTCGACCCGAACCCGACCGT